TTCTGAATGGTTTTCTGGATGACTTTGCTGGCTGACTACTCGGATTCTCGATTTGGCTGGTATGAGAATTCTGAAATAAAATTGGCAACAACTTGCCTTTTGATGGCTGCCTTCGATCTATAATGTAGATTGAACTGACTCAATTCCATTGCTCATTTGAGTAACTTACCCGAAGCTTCTGGCTTTTAAAGAACTTGCCTGAATGGGTAGTTGGTCAGAACATGGATTGTGTGGGCATGGAAATATAGTCGTAGCTTCCTGGAGGCGATCAGCAGGGCATAAGCTAATCGCTCTATTTCTAGATACCGCATCTCGGCGTCTAGTAGTCGCTTGCTCGCGTAATACACTGGCCATTAAACTCTGCCTTCTTCCCGAATGAGAGCTACGCTGACCGCATACTGAGAGACAGACAGGTAGAGAAATAGAATTTCCATGGGAAGAGGCTTGGATAGAAGAGGCGACTATCCGAGATGTTCTTTTATACTCTGAAAAGCTTGCTCGCACTTTGGAGTCTATTCGAACTTCTTGTTGGCCCTGAGTATATTAAAAAATGGCAATCAACAATCTATTGCCCTTGATATGAAGCGACTGAGAGTTGCTATCCTTCAATTTAGGCTCTAAACCTGTTTTTGGCTGGTCGGGCTTTTCATATGAGGAGAGCCTGGATCTTCTCAGGGTTGATTTCGATCTCCATTTGATTAACCATATACCCCAAAAACTTTCCTAAAGATACTCCGAATGAGCACTTAAGAGGGTTGAGCTTTATCCTGTACTTTTGGAGTACGTCGAACATCTTAGTGAGATACGCTATGTGATCTGAAGCGACATGCGACTTGACTAGCATGTCATCAACATAAACTTCGATCGACTTTCCGATCTGCTCAGAAAACGTACGGTTAACCAGCCGCTGGTAGGTTGCCCCAACGTTTTTTAGGCTGAAGGACATAACCTTGTAATAATACAACCCCCAATCTGTAACGAACGAGGTATGCTCTTCGTTAAGTGCATACATTGGGATCTGATTGTGCCCTGAGTAGGGGTCCATAAAGCTTAGCAGCTCATGCCCGGAAGGGGCATCAATGAGTTGGTCGATCCTTGACAAGGGAAAACTATCATTTGGAAAGGCTTTATTGAGGTCGGTGAAGTCGACATATGTTCGCCACTTGTCGTTGGGCTTCTTTACCAAGACAACTCGGGTAAAGTGCCTCTCGAATAAACTCATTTAAAAGAAGCTTATCTACCTCACTTTTCAAGGCAACATAACGCTCAAATTCCATGGTTCTTTTCTTCTGGAAAACTGGCTTGACTGTACTGTCAATGTTGAGTGCATGACATATTACATTCGGGCTGATCTCGATTATATCAGCATGAGTCCATGCGAAAACATTGACATTCTCTATGAGGAAACTCTTTAAGCTTTTGGCGAGCTGGGGTTGAGATTACTCTCGCTTCTCAACACTAGAGTCAGCTCATTTTGATCCACTGATACCTCAGATAAATCCTCAACTGGCTCACTATGAGGGCACTCTTGGATGCGAGGATCCATATTGTCTTCTACTAGGTCGGACTGTGGCTTGATCCTACTGATCGCCATAACCTGCTTGAGGATGCCTATTGGCCTTCTTTTTCCCTTGCACGCCATCTACACTACTCAAATGTTGTAGGCGCGAGATTCGCGTTGAGATCCTTTTACTTTCCCAATCCTTGTCAGAGTGGGAAACTTCATTTTCAGATGGTAGATGGAGGTGATTGTCTTGAAACTTCGTAATGGAGGTCGTCCCAGAATGCCATTAAAGGAAGGCAAACAGTCTACTACCAAAAACTCTGTCATCTTGGTCATTTCGTTGGTCTCACCCAACGTGACAAGAAGTGCGATCGTTCCCTTAGGAATTAGATGATCCCCAGTAAAATCGTAGAGAGGGATAAAGTGGCCTGCCTTGTCCAATTACATTTTTTCGAAAGCTCGCTGAAACAGGATATTCACAATGCTTCCATTGTCCACTAACATTCTGTGGACTTTGCACCGACCTATTTCAGGCGTGATGACGAGTGCATCCTCATGGCGATGATGTAATCACACCGCGTCTTTCTTTGAGAAGGTAATCTCTTTTTCCCTGCGAACCTTAGCGGGTCGCGGCGCCATGCTCATCACACTCACAGGGTCATGACGAGCTTCCCGAGCATACCTTTCCTAGGCACCTCGAGAATTCCCTGTGAGGTGTGGTCTTCCAAAGATGATCCCTACACAGTAGAGACCCTTGCGACCACGACACTTCTTCCCTTGTTCCTCTTGATCCTTTTCCCGAATGGGAGTCGGACCATCAACATACTCCGTGAAGTACCCCTACTTGATGAGGTCTTCAATTGCTTGCTTGAGAGCCCGACACTCATCAGTGTGATGTCCATTATCCCGATGATAACGGTAATACTTTTTGTTGTTCTTGGTTAAGGGAGATTCTTCATGGGCTCTGGCTCTCCGAGCAGGCTGGCCTCCTCTGACTTATCCAGAATAGCCGACACTGAGGCATTCAAAGAAGTGTATTGACTTTTGTTGCGATCGTGATGAGGAACTTGGGCATAAGATTTTTTGGGCTCAAATTGTTGCTTCTTTCCTTTCCGCTGATCGTCATTAGCCCATCTGCGATCAACCCTTCTACTATTCTCCCCCCGGTTAGGAGCACTGGTCGAAGGGCCGGGGTCCTAGTGATTAAGGGTGACCACAAAATTTTTGATTCGGAGATACTTCTTAGTGAGGTCGTAGAAGCGAGTGAGGGAAACATCATCCTCAGATTGCAATTCTTTCCACAAGTCAGTCTGCGGGCAAACCCCCACGATAATGAGAGTCCGAATGGACTCTTTGGGAGTGTAAGCCACTTTGTGAAGTTCCCTGTGGAATCTATCTATGTAACATTGGAGGGATTCGTTCCTCTCCTGCCGTATGTTGCTTAGATAGTTCAACGACATTGAGAACTTCTTGTTTACCTGCAAGTGTCTCAAGAATGACGAGCTCATTTGTTGCCACGAGCTGATTAATCCTGCGGGAAGTGATTTGAACCAGCGCTTGGCATGGACAGTCAGAGTTACTGCTAAGCAACGACATTTGGCCAAGTCGGAGATTTGGTAGAGTTTCATGAGGTCGTTGAACTCATAAAGGTGATCCTACAGATCAGAATTCCCATCAAACGCCCGCACGTTGGGCATTCTGAATCTCGATGGGAGAGGAGCAGCTAACACTGTTGGAGAAAAGGGAGACACCTCTGCGACCTTCCCACGCTCATTCTACTGAGCCTTAAGCTGATCTAAAGCTCGTTGTAATTCCTCAATCTGAGGTAGTGGAGCTACCTGAGGATTACTTTCCGCAACGTGGGTTTGATCCTCATGCTTGCAGTTGAGGAAAGACCGCAAATCGGACTCTTCCTCAACTCAGCCGAAAGCTCCGGCAAACCTTGACACACGTTGGCTGGGGCCGCGTGAAGGCATTGAATGGCTCGAGGAGTTTTCTCGACTTCCATGGTGGTCAGAACCGACCCATGAATGACGGGGGTTTCCCGTATGATGACAGTCGAGATCATCATTTTGGCGATATTGGGAATCTTCCTGCCTTGCACTTTTATGGGAGTGCCCATGCGACGTGGTGAGGGATGGCCCATGCTGTGACATGTGCTGAGTCGTAATGTCATAGTTATTCTACCCGTTGCGTGACTGGTGTTCGCTAGTCCCTTGGAGCCCTTTGGTCCACTATTTGCCACTTGCTTTCCCTTACTTTTACGCGCTGTAGTACGCGCGGTACGGGCTTGTGCCCTTTTTTGTGCTTTTGTGCAACTTACGAGTGTCTTTGGCGATGGCACCGCCTCATTGGACTCTGGTGGTACGACCCAATCCAAACAGTCTAACCTTTGGCTAACCGTTTGGAGAGTATTGTTGAATCTCTCCAAGTAATTCATGACGGCTGGGTCGAGTTGTGAGCTCAAAGGAATATCCGCCATGGTACTCTGCTGGACTGGCGGCACTTTGGGAGAAGTGTCATCCTGTACCCGGTGGATTTCCTCATTGTCAAGGTCAGTTCGCTCAATTTTGAAACCGCAAGCCATTTGCTATGGATAGGATCGATCGGTCAGAAGTTTCTGATGAAAAGCGGATACTAAATCAGTGGCCCTCCTTTTAGCACCAAACTGTTGATGCTTGATTTTGACACCAACGACTCGTATGTGTAAAGTGCTAAGCAGATTTAGAAATTACACCTGATATAGAAATGTGCAATGAAAGAATAAATGAGAAGCGATTTTTAAAGTGGTTTGGATACTCAAAAGCAAATCCTACTTCCACTATGGTTGTATTAATGGATGGTTACAACAGGTCGCGTACAGCGAGCTGAATTACAATCTATAGAGAATTTAAATGTAGAGAGAGAGAGAGAGAGAGAGAGAGAGAGAGAGTCTACTTTTTCAGATTAAGGATGAGCCAATGCTGTAAATGAGAGAGTAGCCCTCTATTTATAGTTGGAGGATTCAAGGTAGTAATCACGATTCTACAGTCGGGCAGGTATGGTACAATTTCTAACCCGCTTCCTATTGGTTGTCTGCACGGGAGACATCCTTAAATCGCGTACGGCTTGGGCAGGTAGACAATTCCTAGCCACTCACAAGCCTGACTTTCACCTGTCACACTGACGATAGCTTTAACTCTTGCATCCTTGCGTGACGTGGCAATGTCTTGACGACACAAAGTCTTCCTGAATTCTGATTGGCCTTTGCTGGCATGAGCTCACGTCAGCCTTAATTTTTTAGGCATAACAAACTTCATAGACCCTTTTTAAATCATATATTATTTCTTTTGTTGAGAAATTTAATTCAATTTAAAATTAATTAATACAATTTTTTATCTATTCAAACTTATTAGAAGATTACGTGTGCAAACCAAATGTCCAACCAATTAAACTAACTAATATTCAGAAATAAGTTTATTTTATAATTTATTCTAATTTGTTTTAATTGATTTCCCAAGGCGACGAGACTAAACGACAGAAATGGAAAAAATCTAGGAAGAAAAGCAAGAAATAGAGAAAAATCGGAAGCAAACAAGTCATTAGAAAGTCGCCACGTACGCCTTTTCCAAACCACATCCACTCCCTCTTAAACTTCACTTAGCTGCCTTGCAACTTGGTTGTGTCGCGTCTTGTTCCACGATTTCTTTCTTTGAATTCTTCCATTTAAGTTTGCCCTCTTTTTCCGTTTCTCTGTGTTCCGATTTCACTTCAATCCAGGTTTGTTTCGTGTAAACTTTTGATATTTATTTGAAACTTCTATTAGAAAAATGATTAAGGGTGTCGTTATTACAGTCATGCATTGGAAATTTTAAAAATGTTTAGTTGTGCTGTTTCCTTTTAATTTATTGTTGTTTCTCTTTTTTACTTGGTTTTGCTGAAGAAGCTGAATTGGTGTGAATAAAGTTTTAAGTGTTTGTATATGGTAATGCAAACATGGGTTGTAGGGGTGGCGGATGGGTGGTTCTTGTTTCAAGATTTATGTTTGTTTTAAACCGTTCGTTTCTTGATTAGTAGCTATGCCTTTTATTTATTGCTAATTCTATTGGTTTGTTCTACAGATGGCGACTTCATCAGCTTGCCTTATTGGGAATGTTTTATCTACACACAAGATTAAAACGAATTTGAGCAAGGACTTCTACGGTAGACGTCTTGTGGTTTCGTCAAGCTTTTCTTCACTGGAAAAGAAGTCCAAAGCAGCCGTCATAAAGTCCTCTTTGGTCCAAAAACAGCCGGAGGGAAGAAGAGGCTTTCTCAAATTGTTGCTTGGCAATGTGGGTCTTGGTGTCTCTGCTTTACTGGGGAGTGGCAATGCATATGCTGATGATCAAGGGGTTTCTTCCTCCAGGATGTCTTATTCTAGGTTCTTAGAGTATCTTGACAAGGACAGGGTTAAAAAAGTGGATTTGTTTGAAAATGGAACTATAGCCATTGTGGAGGCCATTTCACCCGAGTTGGGTAACCGGGTGCAGCGAGTTCGTGTTCAGTTGCCGGGGCTCAACCAGGAGCTTCTCCAGAAATTCAGGGAGAAGAACATTGACTTTGCAGCACATAATGCTCAAGAAGACTCAGGATCTCTGTTATTCAATTTGATTGGGAATCTGGCTTTTCCACTTATCCTAATTGGAGGGTTGTTCCTTCTCTCAAGGCGTTCATCTGGTGGAATGGGTGGTCCTGGTGGGCCTGGTTTCCCTCTGGCCTTTGGTCAATCCAAAGCCAAATTCCAAATGGAACCAAACACTGGTGTAACATTTGATGATGTTGCTGGAGTTGATGAAGCAAAACAAGATTTCATGGAGGTGGTGGAGTTTCTCAAGAAGCCTGAGAGATTCACTGCTATTGGAGCTCGCATTCCGAAAGGTGTTCTTCTTGTTGGTCCTCCTGGAACTGGGAAGACTCTTCTAGCCAAGGCTATTGCTGGTGAAGCTGGTGTTCCATTTTTCTCCATCTCTGGTTCTGAGTTTGTTGAGATGTTTGTTGGTGTTGGTGCATCTCGAGTCCGAGATCTTTTCAAGAAGGCCAAGGAGAATGCTCCTTGCATTGTTTTTGTGGATGAAATCGATGCTGTTGGACGGCAAAGAGGAACTGGAATTGGGGGAGGGAATGATGAAAGAGAGCAGACCCTTAACCAGCTTTTGACAGAAATGGATGGTTTTGAGGGTAACACTGGTATCATTGTAGTAGCAGCTACTAATAGGGCAGACATTCTTGATTCTGCCTTATTGAGGCCAGGACGGTTTGACAGACAGGTAATAATATATCATCATTTTTTTATTGCTCAAATTATATAAAATTAGTACTTAATATAAAGCTTTAATGCAGGTTACTGTTGATGTTCCTGATATACGAGGACGAACAGAGATATTGAAAGTTCATGCAGGCAATAAGAAGTTTGATGCAGATGTCTCTCTTGATGTGATAGCCATGAGAACACCTGGTTTTAGTGGAGCAGATTTAGCAAACCTGTTAAATGAGGCTGCTATATTGGCTGGTAGACGTGGGAAGACTGCAATTTCATCTAAAGAGATTGATGATTCAATTGATAGGATTGTTGCTGGAATGGAAGGAACAGTAATGACTGATGGGAAGAGCAAAAGTCTGGTTGCTTACCATGAAGTTGGCCATGCAATATGTGGGTAAGTAGGATTGCTTTCTCTGAATCTGTCTTTTGAATATTCTCAAATAAATTTTCATATGACTATAGATGGAATGTTGTGATTTTTACATTAGGGATGTATAATATTTAGCCTGCTTTAATCACTACTACTGCTGTCTCCATTTTGGTTGTTTAAATTTTTTATGGTTGCTGTTGAAATAGGTGGCTAACAAAATCCTCTGAATCTCTAAGGAAAAGATAACTAGCTGTATTACCTACTATGCCTGACAATAGGCAAAAGTTGAAAAGTACTAAATTTCAGACAAAAATTTTCCAATAATAATATGTGCTGGTTACTGCCCTGCTAAAGTTTTGGATGTTGGAGTAGCCGAATCATTATATCGATCAAGTAGCCTGAATCCTAGATTAAGCATACACACACAACAGATTATGAGAAAAGGCATTGTCATGGTTATGTGCTAATGGAAGTATATTTGAAAATTCTTACCATACTTTGCCAAGATTTCATATAGGTCCAGTGTTCCTAGCCTATATACCTAAAACATTCCTCTTTTATCAAGAATATGGGATGATTTACAAATGAAGCATTCGTATTTCATCATACACACTTTATTTATGAGGAGATTCAGAACTTTTTAAGCAAGCCCATTAGTCTCCCTTCACTTCATAAAACTTATCATTATCCTCTTTCTCCTCTCCCTCCCTTAGGTTCAGCTCTCTTTAGGCTCATCATTTATGCTTGTTAAGATAACTGTTTGTTTAGAAACTTGTTGCTCAAACAACTTACAAAATGCCCTTATTTTCTTTTGGGTTCAGAACTTTGACTCCAGGGCATGATCCTGTTCAAAAAGTCACCCTTGTTCCTCGTGGTCAGGCAAGAGGTCTTACCTGGTTTATTCCTTCAGATGACCCTACCCTGATTTCCAAGCAGCAGCTATTTGCGAGAATTGTTGGTGGTCTTGGTGGCAGAGCTGCTGAGGAAGTGATTTTTGGTGAGCCAGAGGTGACAACAGGTGCAGCTGGTGACTTACAGCAGATCACTGGTTTGGCCAAACAGGTGAGTGAGTATTTCTGTTATCTGGATTATGCACAAATTTCAGGTTGTCCAATATTCATTAATGTATTTCTGTTATTATTTTTTCCCCTCCAAAGCTTTGATTCCTATCATGCTTGGATTTGATAACGGAGTTGAAAAGCTAAAATTTTGATCTATATGTGAAGTATAACTGGCTAGGGTTTTTCCCTCTCCTATCCGTTTAGGGATCTTTTTATCATTCCAACCTAGTTCTTGTAACCAGTAACTCTTAACATTTACTCACTGTACTTGGCTAATTACACCAAAAGTTTCCTATTAAAGTTAGGCTTATGATTAATCTGTTTGCAGATGGTAACCACATTTGGAATGTCTGAAATTGGCCCATGGTCGCTAATGGATGGATCAGGACAAAGTGCTGATGTCATCATGAGAATGATGGCAAGGAATTCAATGTCAGAAAGGCTTGCTGAAGACATTGACACTGCCGTCAAGAGATTATCAGACAGTGCTTATGAGATTGCATTGAGGCACATCAGGAACAACCGTGAGGCTATTGACAAGATTGTGGAAGTCCTACTTGAGAAGGAAACAATGACAGGGGATGAATTTCGCGCAATCCTATCAGAATTTGTTGAAATCCCAGTTGAAAATCGAGTCCCACCTGCAGTTCCCACACCAGTCTCTGTTTAACTAGCATTAATCATACTTAAAATGCCATCCACCTTTTGAGCACACTTTAAATTGGTTGAATGTATACTATTTTTAAACTTGTTTAACTAGCATTAATCATACTTCAAAGGCCATGTACCTTTTGAGCACACTTTAAATTTGTTGAATGTATACTATTTTTAAACTTGATCAAATGTAAGTTATGTAATTAGGAATGTACACTTAACTTTCATCCATGAATGAGAAAAGTTTTATAGATTGTGCCTTCGTTTTCCATTGTAACCTAATTGGACTTTGTCACAGGTTTGATCATGTCGATTATTATCCCAATGAGTTCTTCGATGGTGTCCCCTGACTTTCTCGGCCAAAGTTGCCGCATTACTTGCATTGGTACTGTAATTTATGAGAAAGAGATACCAGCAGGGTTTAAAATTTCCTTCTATTTGTTCATTTTCACTGAAAGCCCTGCACGAAATTTATAAAAACAGCATTACTATTTCGAAAGTGCAATAACGCCCAAAGTAAAATAAATCTTCGAAGGCAAAGCAAATGTATGGGCAAGCCGAGTCTTAATGGTCTCAGCCTCTGTTCTCTACTTTTCTTCTCCAGGTCCGCAACCAAGATTGCCTCTGAATTTGTTGTTAACTCGACACAAGACTTCACCAGCCTGTGCTCCAAAGGACTTGTAATAGAAGCTTTTAACACATTCAAATGTGAAATATGGTCAGAACCAAATCTCTTCTCTCACCTCATCCAATCATGCACACTCAAAAATTCTCTTTCATTAGCAAAACAACTTCATTCCTTGATTGTAACGTCTGGGTGTTCCTCAGACAAGTTCATTTGCAACCATCTCCTCAACATGTACTCCAAATTTGGGCAAACACAAACTGTTGCTGCTTTGTTTGGAATCATGCCCAGGAAAAATATCATGTCTTGTAACATTTTGATCAATGCCTATATGCGAAGTGGTGATTTGGAAAGTGCTCGAAAAGTGTTCGAAGATATGCGTGAGAGGAATATCGCCACTTGGAATGCTATGGTTGCGGGTTTGATTCAGTTTGAATTTAATGAGGAGGGTTTGAGATTGTTAAGTGAAATGCATCAAGATGGGTTTTTGCCTGACGGGTTTACTCTGGGTAGTGCTTTGAGGGGGTGTGCTGGTTTGAGAGGGTTATATGCAGGGCGGCAAGTTCATGGTTACTTGGTTAAATGTGGGTTTGAGATGGATTTGGTTGTTGGGAGCTCATTAGCTCATATGTATATGAAAAGTGGAAGCTTGGATGAAGGAGAGAAGGTGATTACATCGATGCCAATTCGCAATGTGGTTGCTTGGAACACACTCATTGCGGGAAAAGCTCAAAATGGGTATTCTGAAGGAGTTTTGGATCAATATAGTTTGATGAAAATGGCGAGTTTTAGACCTAATAAGATTACGTTTGTGAGTGTGATAAGTTCGTGTTCTGATTTGGCGACATTAGGTCAAGGTCAGCAGATTCATGCCGAAGTGATTAAAGCTGGGGCTGGTTCAGTAGTTTCAGTGATTAGTTCGTTAATTAGTATGTATTCAAGATGCGGTTGTTTGGAGGACTCAATCAAAGCTTTCTTGGAATGTGAAGGTCCAGATGTTGTCTTATGGAGCTCAATGATTGCTGCATATGGATTTCATGGACGAGGAGAGGAAGCTGTCAAATTGTTTGAGCAGATGGAGCTGGAAGAATGGGAGGCAACTGATGTTACTTTCTTGAGCTTGCTTTATGCTTGTAGTCATTGTGGATTGAAGGAAAAAGGATTGGAATTCTTCGATTTGATGGTAAAAAAGTATGGTTTGAAGCCTAGACTAGAACATTATACATGTGTGGTTGACTTACTTGGTCGGTCTGGCTGTTTAGATGAAGCAGAGGCTCTGATAAGATCAATGCCTGTAAAAGCTGATGCCATCATATGGAAGACGTTGTTATCTGCATGTAAAATCCACAAGAATGCAGACATGGCAGGAAGAATTGCTGAAGAAGTTCTTAGGCTTAATCCTCGGGATTCGGCTTCTTATGTGCTTCTTTCTAACATTCATGCTTCTGCTAGGAGGTGGCTGGGTGTTTCCGAGGTGAGAAAAGTAATGAGAGATAGGAATGTGAAAAAGGAACCGGGTATAAGCTGGTTGGAGATAAAGAATCAAGTTCACCAGTTCTGTATGGGCGACAAATCTCATCCAAATTCAATGGAGATTGATTTGTATTTGGATGATCTAACGGCAGAGATGAAGCTGAAAGGGTATGTGCCTGATACAGGTTCAGTTTTGCACGACATGGATAATGAAGAAAAAGAGTATAATTTGACACACCATAGTGAAAAGTTAGCCATTGCTTTTGCTCTAATGAAAACACCTGCAAGTGCACCAATTAGGGTGATGAAGAACTTGCGCGTCTGCAGTGATTGTCATGTTGCTATTAAGTACATTTCAAAGATCAAAAACAGAGAGATTATTGTTAGAGATGCCAGTAGATTTCATCATTTCAAAAATGGGAATTGTTCTTGTGGAGATTACTGGTAACAAGATTACCCATTGCTCTCATACTTTGTTTCTGATTTAGCACAATCTACTTTCCGTCAGATCTATTTTTGTATGCTTTACCCTTTCACATTTTACTAATAAGTTGAGTCTTGAAGACATACAGATATTTTAAAAGAAAGATAACATTATCAAGCTAAACCCATAACAAATTATTTATTGCAGATTTCTCAGAATGCTTTCTGATCAATTTCAAAGTGATTTGCAGAGGTGATTACTGTTAAGATGATCAAATAGATGAAATTAATCTCTTCCTTACGCTTGATTATCCTCATTATATGTATGTATACATGATGTTAAGGAAAAAAAAAAAAAAAAAAAGAAACAAGAGTGAAAGTGAATTAAATAAAATTGTTAGGAAGTGCTACAGACAACGAAGAAAATTTTGCATCAGTTTCCAAATCCAAATTCCATCCCTTTCTAATTTCTGCTTTGAAATTAGTATTTGGTGTCATAAAAGTCTGAGAAGGTTGACCCACGTCGTGTTGAACAATCTAATAAAGCCTCGAAAAATAAATTATCGCCCCTTATTTTAACGTGTTTAATATGTCATAACCCATTTCGCCTATTATCGAGTTAATTTATTAAAAATTGTCAAATTCAAATTGTGAGGAAAGGTTTATAAAATTGAGTTGTATGTGTAGTATCATTCATTTATAATTAACTTAAACTTCAAAGTAATATATAATTTTATAATCATAAAAAATCCATAAAATTAATAAATATGTGATAATAATTATTTTTCTAACGACATAAGCACAAGCTTTTTCAATTATTATTTTAACTAAAGACCTCAAAATGGAAGTCTTTGACTAATTAAAAATTATTAAAGATGTAAAAAATTATGTTAAGTGCATAAAAAAAAAAAAAAAAAAAAAAAAAAAAAAAAAAAAAAAAAAAAAAAAAAAAAAAAATTGGTGGCATATCATGTGTATAAGTTTATCATGTTTGGTAGTAAATTGTTAGTTGACTTCTGGGTCTATCTCTCTCTCTCTCTCTTGCGTCTCTCCCCTGACTGGCAAAGGCTCCAGTTTCATCGTCTTCAGCTTCTTTCCGTCTTGTATTCTTTTTACTCATTTTTGTCTATAACTTCAGCTTCATCTCAGGAATTGTTCTACACGGGCCAGTTGTGTTTACTGCTTTGATTCAACCTTCCTCTGCATGGTACAACAACAATTCGGTCGTCACCGATGATGGAAAATGAGAGTGTTTCTCCAAACAAAAAACGCTAATGACGTTGATTACATTGTGGTTCTACTGCATGGAGCCTGTAACTCTTATGTGTTCTCAGTAGTGGCCATTGGAGGAGGAGGAAATCACACCTGGTTTGGTCAGCTAACAGAGACCGTCCTGTAAAAGCAAATGCAATGGTGAAGTTAACGCGAGGGGCTTAGTGCTTCAAGACTCAGATGGCACACAGTCGGTCAAGCACACGTCAGTCGGATCCTGGAAGACTACATCGATTAGTTCGTAGCATGAAGCGAAGAGTCACCAACTGAGAAGTATCATTTACTCCTCCAAGTTCTACACCAACGCCAACCCCTCCAAGCACACAACCTGCAGAAAATGGACCACCAGTTGTCACAAATTTAGCACCACCACCAGGTCCACCCAGAGGAAAAGGGAAGAAATTAGTGGCAGTTATAGCAGGATCGTTGCAGGTGTTCTTGTCATTGTTAGGTTAAATTGTTTTTGCTGTGAGAATTCGGAAGACTTCTGAAGCTGAGGAACTTGTGGAGGACTACATCAAGCAAGTTGTTGAAGCATTGATAATTTGCTGGAAAATTCAGTTAAGTTAGTTTGTTTGAATTAATTTCTTGGGGCCAAGTAGCAGTTGCATTCCCTTGTTTCCTGCTGAAACTGAAGCTGCTGGAGTTGTTTTGGAGTTGTTAATTTTGTGTCATGGAGGTGTAATCAGTGTAAAAGAGTGCATTAAGTTACCAACTTTGTTTTTGAAATTTAAAGTGAATGGTTGTTGTTGTTGGTAAAACAGTAAGCTTTGTTGTGTTAATATTGCAAGTACAGTGAATGAAATATAGCAGTTCACTTCTGCATTTTTTCTCCTTTCTTTCTTAGAGTTCTCGGCCAAATACCAACAAATGGTATCAGAGCTTAACACCAAAACAACCTAAAATCTCTTACACCAGTCATCAACCTCTACTCAAGAACACCTCCCATTTTCAGCCCAAAACAACCTGCATCTGCACCTTTGTTTACCCTGCATCGACACAAAACTTAAAACAATGGCTGCTAATCAGCCCTGATGTCACCTCAGTATTCAATGGGGAGCACTACCACTATGGGCTGTTAAGATGAAGGCTTTCCTCCGGGGTCAGGGGCTGTGGCAGTATGTGGAAGAAAACAGGCAGCCACCTCCATTAGGACAGAATCCTACCCTGAACCAAATGAGACTGCTGAGGAAGAAACAGCCAAAGCACCAAGAGCTCTCTCCCACATTCATGCTGCTGTAACGACACTTGTATACAAGGATCATGGCATACGAGACTCCAAAAGAGGCATGGGATAAGCTGAGAGAGGAGTGCATGGCAGCACACAACAAGGAACATGCAGTGGCTAAATTTAAGGAGAGAATTTGAGATGCAGAGGATGCAGACAGAGAAGGTCAAGGACTAGTTGACAGGCTAATGGGTGTTGTAAACAAGATAAGGCTGCTGGGAGTGGAGTTGACTGATAAGAGAGTGGTGGAGAAAGTCCTGGTTAGCCTACCCGAAAGATTTGAGTCCAAAATCTCATCTTTAGAGGACTCAAGAGACATGGGACAGGTTACACTCACAGAGCTGGTTCATGCATTGCAAGCACAAGAGCAAAGAAGGCTCTTGAGGCAAGAAGATGTTGGTGAGGGTGCAATGATGGCAACTCACAAAAAAAACCAGTTCAAGGGAATAACAGGAGGTTTGTCGGTGAAAAGAAGGGAAAGAAAGGAGTAATGGCCAATGGGGAAAACCAGGTGGGATGAAAGAATATCCACCTTGTTCCCACGTAAAAGGAAAGGGCACTCTGAAAAAAGGTGCTGGTTTAGGCCAGGAATACAATGCAGAGCATGTAAGCAGTTTGGCCATATAGAGAGGGTGTGCAAGGCAAGGGAGAGCAGTCCCAGCAGCAAGCACAAGTGACAGAGGACCAGCAACCAGAACAGGGAGTAGAACAGCTGTTTATGGCCTCCTGTAGTGCCACACACAACCTGCTGTGATGGCTGGCTGGTTGACAGTGGGTGTACAAACCATATGACACACACTTGCAACATTTTGTGAGATTAAACTCCACACTCAGTCCAAGATTAAATGGCAAATGGTGATTATGTTGAAGCAAAGGGGAAGGGAGATGTTGCAATCCAAACCTCCACAGGTACAAAAACTCATCCAAATGTTTATATGTACCCAATTACTCAAAGCCTCCTAAGTGTAGGACAAATGTTAGAAAACCATTATGTTTTACATTTTGAAAATCAAATCTGTCAAATTTTAGATAGTAAGGGGTGTGAGTTAATGAGAGTGAAAATGGTGGAAAAAAGCTTTCCCATAAAACTGAAAAAAACTGAACATAGGGCCTACAGTGTAAAGGTAGATGAATTCGTGAAAGGCATAAGAGACTTGGTCATGTCCATTACCAAGGTCTCAAAGAAATTCAGACCAAGAAGCTGCCAACCTGCCAGAATTAGAGGAGAGTGATACCATGTGCAAAGCTTGTCAACTTGGCAAGTGAGTAGGCAATCCTTCCCTGCAAACCAAACCTGGAGAGCAGCTGAAAAACTGCAACTCATCCTAGGATGTATGTGGTCCTATGGAAACTTTGTCCTGTGGTGGGAGTAGATACTTTGTGCTATTCATTGATGACTATCTAGGATGTGTTGGGTGTATTTTTTGAAGCAAAAAGGACAGGTTGCTGGTGTATTCAAAGAGTTCAAGCTTCTAGTGGAAAATCAGGCAGAAAAAACCATAAAGATCTTGAGAAGTGTAATGGTACAGAGTACACTTCTCAAGAGTTTGAGCAAGTGTGCAAAGATGCTGGAATTAAGCACCAATACAGCCGCCCCTACACTCCACAGCAAAATGGAGTCAGTGAGAGGAAAAACAGGTCAGTTGTAGATGGCTAGATGCATGGTGGCTGGAAGAGATTGCCAAAGAAATTTTGGGCAGAAGTGTAACACAGCAATTTTTCTGCTCATAGGCTTCCCACAAAAGCCTTGGACAACAAAACACCTATGAAGCATGGAATGGAGTTAAACCAACGTAGAGAGGCTAAAAATTTTCGGGAGTGTATGCTACATTTTGGTTCTAGCAGCAAAAAGGTCAAGCTAGATGAGAAGGCATTAATTGGTATCTTTATAGGCTATAGCAGTCATATAAAGCCTATAGGGTATATGTTCCAGAAACCAGAAAAATTTAGATTTCCAGGGATGTCAAGATTGATGAGGATGGAGTATGGAATGGGAAGAAAACAAAAACTGATGTAGAGACAAAACTAGGCGGACAGAAGCTGTCATGAGCAGATTTTTGATGATGTTGAGAGTGATGTGGAAGATGAAATTTCAGTTAGAGGTACCAGACCTTTAGCTGAGGTTTATGAGAGATGCAACATGGCTTCACTTGAGCCAACATGTTACTTTGAGGCTGCAAAATCAGAGGTGTGGAGAGTGGCCATGAAGGAGGAGCTTGCAATGATTGAAAAGAATCAAACTGGAACTT